CTATTATGGCATCCATAGATAGTCCCAAGTCATGGGAAACGACATGAAAATACGGGTCCATGACATACAAGTTTACAAGATCTCGTTAGCCACTTCATTGTGGTGATATGTGTTTAATCGGTATCCGGAACTGACTATTCTAGTCGGAAGACGTTCTGTGATGTGTTCTATGGGATGTACCATTATTATGTTCTGATATGAGAATGATTATGCTCTGGTCTGTTTTCTGTTTATGATGTATTCGGATTTCGTTCACTAACCCCTTTACCTTAATGTTATTCATTGGGCTTTAGCTTATTGTGTGTATATATATGTATAAGTGAGCATTCTGGAGCCCGAGCCTGGAGGCTTTTGTCTGGATCTGTATTCTGTTGTCAGCCAACCATTGTGCCTCACGTGGAGGTTCCCGGAGTGTTCTGTGTTCAAGTTCTGTTGGTTCTGTGTATATGTATGACTTGATTTAATTCTGTTGGCTGAAGGTGCCTGATGACCATGGTTGTAATAACCCCAATCCACAATTAGCCACTAATCGGTAGTTAAGGATGTTAATTTAGTGAATAAAATAAATTATGGGTTTATTATGTGATTTGCATGATTTTTGGCTTTCTATCTGTTACTTATAGAAATATCTGTTTGGAATTCAACTTTAATATGTAAATTAAAAGCCTTATCAGCATCCGAAACCGAAATCGACTACACCGATATGTTATTTGGAATTTTTAGGACCATATGACAAGTTTAATTAAAAATTGATTCAGTCTGATTAATTAAGTCATGTTTGGTTAGCCTAATATTCTATTTAATGTGTTTTAGCACCATAAACATATATATGAGATATAAGCTCATTTTGAGCTCATTTTCTTTTATCCCTTGAGTGGAAAAATCTGAGAATTCATCAGAGAGAGAGAGAGAGAGAGTGCAATTCTAGAGAGAGAAAGGTAGAGATTAAGGAGAAATTGAAGGTTTTGACTTGAGCTCACTGAGATTGTGCTAGAACAAGAGTAATTCAAGACTTTAGGTAAGATTACAACCTCTAGATTGTGTAATTAAGTCATTTAATATGAAATTTCTTCAAGATTATGTGTTTAAGGGTGTGTATTGAGCTTAGAATGAAGGTTTGAGTGTCAATTCATGCATGCATGTACATTTTCTTACAAATTGAGCATGATTTCCATGAATCCTCTCTTGCATGTTTGAAATTCATCTTCATTTGGGGAAATCATCAAGTTTCAAGTTGTTTTGTGGTGTTTGATCATGTTTTGAGAAGTTTGATACAAGAAAAATTCATACATGTTGTGTTCATAAACATTCTTGAAGTTTAAGTTGCAATTGGGAACTTTTGGCAAACCCTTGGGCCATGATTTTATGAAATGATCCTAAATTCTTCATGTTTTACAAGTTTACTATGTTATCTCAAGTTTTGGGGCCCAAGAGATGTGTTTTGAGGGTTGGAATTCGAGTTTTGAGCTTGAAGGTGCAATCTGGAATTCCAGAATTTGCATCTACGCTCGAGCGTGGGAGTTTACGCTCGAGCGACCAATCTGAGTGCATGCACTCCGCTCGACCGACCAAATGTCCGCTCGAGCGTAAATTGCAAGCTTCCATAAGTTTCATGTCTTTTACAGATCGCTCGAGTGAAGGAATGTGCGCTTGAGTGACCATTCACATTTTGTATGTCCGCTCGAGCGAGGAAAACTACGCTTGAGCATGGACCTTATTTTCAGAAATTTTGACTAAGTGTTCCAATTCATGTTTTGGCATCCTCATTGCATCTTAGGCATTCCTAAGACCTAATTAAGCTTTGATAATGAGGTTATGGATTAGAAACACACTAAGGAATGAATGTACTAAGTCAAGGAATTTCAAGTGTGTATGTGTGTGTGTTTAAGCATGTGATAAGAAAGAATAAGAACCAATGCAATGAAAGCTAAGTCTTAATGGCCACTTGAATGTGTAATGATAAGGCATGCTTGTGTTATGTATTTTGTGATTGTAGGTCAAGACTTGAGGGTTGATTGACCATTGCTGGAACCACTATGAGTAACGTTATTGTAAAGATACGTTCATATGAATTACGTTCCAAACGAAATATGATAAGTTCTGATTTCTGAAATGATATCTATTTTCGTGAACGAATATTCCAAGTTTGAAATCTATTATGGCATCCATAGATAGTCCCAAGTCATGGGGAACGACATGAAAATGCGGGTCCATGACATACAAGTTTACGAGATCTCGTTAGCCACTTCATTGTGGTGATATGTGTTTAATCGGTATCCAGAACTGACTACTCTAGTTGGAAGACGTTCTGTGATGTGTTCTATGGGATGTACCATTATTATGTTCTGATATGAGAATGATTATGCTCTGGTCTGTTTTCTGTTTATGATGTATTCAGATTTCGTTCACTAACCCCTTTACCTTAATGTTATTTATTGGGCTTTAGCTTGTTGTGTGTATATATATGTATAGGTGAGCATTCTGGAGCCCGAGCCTGGAGGCTTTTGTCTGGATCTGTATTCTATTGTCAACCAACCATTGTGCCTCACGTGGAGGTTCCCGGAGTGTCCTGTGTTCAAGTTCTGTTGGTTCTGTGTATACGTATGACTTGATTTAATTCTATTGGCTGGACTTAAAATACTGTAATGTGTATGGGTATAATGTATGGTTGACTACCGGTTATCGTATATAAAGTTTTTAAATATTCCATTTCATATAAGTCAGCACAGCTCATTGGACAACTATATTTATGTATTTGCTTCCGCTAGCCCTTTAATCTTGTTAATCTGTTCAGAGGCCTTCGGTAGTCCAAGGATTACTGGCCGGTTACGATACTAAACCTATAGGGGCGGGTTTGAGTCGTGACAACGTGGCTGAGTCAGCCTGAGGTCCGGAAGTTGGACCGAGTTAGTTGTTCGACGTGGATCATTAGCTAAGCTAGGTGAAGCGATGGTCCAAAGCCGAGCAAGGTCAACAAGGACAAATGGGTATAGCTGAAGAAGTCAGCTAGATACTTCAGATTTTGGCCGGTTGAGAGTAATGCGGTTCCAAAGGGCAGACTGTAGCAACGTGCAGGAAGTAACTCGGTAGGATTTGCTACATGGCCCAATCAGAATGCAAGGAGAGGAATCCATTGAAGTTGTGCGTCAATATCGTTTGGCGGTTTGCCCAAATATTGTTTGGCAGTATTGACGCATAAACATGTAAGAAATAGAAAGGGCAGTACAACCACGCATCCAGAAAAGGACGAGCAAAGTGGTATGCGTAGAAGCTATTTAAACCGTGTGGCGCCTCTATACAACACGTCTGCAATTTTGGTTATCAGGGCTATCTCCTCTCTTTAAAAGGGCGTTAACTTGATCATCGGAGGGCTTTCCAGCATCACACCCGCCGGGTAGCTCACAGTTGTTGTGTTCTCAAGTTATTCAGAGTGAAGTAAAGTTTAGACACGAGGAGTACGGACAACGACAAATATTTGTTTCCCGTACAGTGATCAAATGTAACCAACAACTTACTTAGTAATTTTTATGTGCATAATGAGGTTAATTATGTTTGCTTAACAATTTGTTGTTAGACAGTGATACTATATACTAGTTATATATTAATTAGGATGTTTTATATTATTCTTTAATCTCAAGCAGAGGAGGCTCACTAAAACATTTCTATTTGGTGTAAAAAAAAAATTGTAAATTAAAAACTAACAATCAAAACAAAGACCAAACATGGGGGGATTCTATTTGTATCCAAAAAATCATTCAATACGTGTAATTTTTCAGTACTCTCTATTAAATTATTTATAATTTACTCTCAGTATACCTTATGTGTTTTTCACAAATTACCCTTCAAAATAAAACTATAATTTATGATATACCCAAATAATTAACAAATTAAAAACTCTAAATTACACCATTATAAAGAAAAATTAAAATTCTTAAATAGATTTTGTAAGCAGATCTTTCATGCCTACGCAATCTCTTCAACACTCCTGCTGTGTTGAAATCTCTCAGCATCAATAAAAAGGTAGATGAGTATAAAAATAAAAAAAAATAAAAAAATAAGGAGTTAAATGAAATGTTTTGAGTTTCCATTACCAAACAATACACATTCAACACGATCAACGTCACAATTGGTTTTCATTCTGCATATTGATAAGCAAAGCAAAAGCTACATAAAGATAATGAGTTAATCGTTTACTAATCAATCAGGCAGCAAATTTTGGTTTCTTTTATGTGCTTCTCAACCATCTTCTCCAGCTAATCCTTTTTAGCCCCAATGATCTGAATACACACATAATTAGATGACAGATTGTTTCAAACAAAAAAATAAATTATTATTATTTTTATTCATTGTTTGATTTTGTTCAACTTTTTTTTATTTGCGAATAACAACACAATAAAAAAATAATGATATTGATGATAATTGTGAGAAAGAAGATGAAGAGAAAAAAATAGGAACTTGAAAAATAATATGAAGAATACAAATGAATGATTATGGTGTATCATGAAAAAAAATAAAATATTGTATTTTAGGGCTTAATGTTTATTGTTCTTATTAGTAAATTTACATTAAGGTATAATTGAAATTAAAATTTCAAAATTTTAATTGAACATACTAAGTTATTATTTAAGTGCAAATAGAATCACCCCCAAACGAGCTCCGGTCTCCAGTAGCCTCTCCCTTCCCTTCTGCTCCCCCTCTCTTTCGTTTTTCTTGCCTTTTTGGCTCAATAATACTTTGGAAGCTTAGTCTTTCCATTTCTCCCTGCATGTGAGGTCCTTTTCCTCTTCTTGGTGGAACTCTACTCTTCATCCTCACTCTTCTCAAACTTCCCCAACCAGGGCCTCACCGGATCTGCCGATCTCGTAAATTTACATTAAGGTATAATTGAAATTAAAATTTCAAAATTTTAATTGAACATACTAAGTTATTATTTAAGTGCAAATAGAATCACCCCCAAACGAGCTCCGGTCTCCAGTAGCCTCTCCCTTCCCTTCTGCTCCCCCTCTCTTTCGTTTTTCTTGCCTTTTTGGCTCAATAATACTTTGGAAGCTTAGTCTTTCCATTTCTCCCTGCATGTGAGGTCCTTTTCCCCTTCTTGGTGGAACTCTACTCTTCATCCTCACTCTTCTCAAACTTTCCCAACCAGGGCCTCACCGGATCTGCCGATCTCGTCCTCCGTCCGCACTGCCTCCACCCTACCAGATCTGCCGGATCGTCCGTCTCCTAAGTGGGTTGGGCATCAGATCTACTCCTCCTACCACCTCTCCACCACCGGTTTGCCATGGATCCTGATTTGGAGGTCTTTTCTTTTCTGTTTTGTTTTTTTTCGGTTTTGCTTGTGGATTTGGCGTCATCTATGCTGGATTTGTAGCTTTCCAAACTTTGTGGTTGAAATATATGATTTATCTCAAACAGGCTCTAATGTCGATTTTGATCGGCTCTGCTTTTGCAATATGAGCCCGAGCACATGATGTGCATTTGAATATTTTCATATTTTTTCTCCTAAGCGCTGCTTGTAATTTTCTTTACTCTGTTTGGTGTAAGCTTGGTTTTGATGGCCCTTGTAAATGCCATTTTTGGCTTTCATTAATGGATTTCTACTGATCAAAAAAAAAAAAAAAAAAAAAAAAAATATAAAAAAAAAAAAAAAAAGAATCACCCCCAAACATGATTTCAATTCGAGGTGTATTATAATAGCCCTTGGCCCTTGTTTGATTTGATTATCGAAAGATAAAAATATTTTCCTTTCAATTTTTCAATAATTAACTTTTGAAATTTATATAATTTATTATAGATATTTTATGTACACTTAAATTGAATTTAATGACTAAAATATTTTTTGTTTCATTAGTTTTATTTAATTGAAATAGACTAATGATTGAAAAACTAGATTTTTTTATATTTGTAATTTAAAAAACAAAAAATCGAACTAGGGCCACATGCGATTACAATTATGTTAAGTGGGACCAAACGAAATATGAAACACTATAATCCTCTTAAAATGGGTTCATTGACCTTGACTTATCAATCAATCTTTATGATTATTATTATTTTATATTATAAGAAAATAATTAATAAGTCAATAATTAGATTATAATGTATATAAGCATCTTATAGACTCAAACTTGAAATTTTACTTACTTAAACACCTAAATATTCTCACCATGTCCACTTAGACAATTACTTGGGTCATTATGATTAATTCACAGTTTTTCTCAATAATTCCTATTTTTCCTCCCCAAAATGTTTTTTTTTTTTGGGTACAAGTTTTTCATCCTACGCAATTCCAATTGATGAAAGAAAGAATTGGTAAACTGTCATGACACAAGTGATCAAATGCAGAGTCGCTTACCGTAAATTGACGACACTGCCCTCAGGATTATGTTTGAACGAAGGATATATAGTCAATTGGAAAAATTAGGAAATTTTTCCACCATTGACTGAATTGATCATTGACTCTATCCTTATTTTTCGCAAAAATGATATGGCTCATGAAAATTTATTTTGAATTTTATTTCGAAAGTGTATGTGTGATATAGATTTAAAGTTTAGTGGAATGTAAGACACACCTACAACGAATGTAGACTATCGATTGCTTTTTCTGAATAATTTTCTACAAAATGAATGATGATCTACGTCATTAATTTTATAAGGTTCTTCATATATATCATTTATAAAAAATTAGGTTAATTCAATAATTGTAGTCTATTCTTCTTTTTTAATAGAACAATTGTAATCTATTCAATTTATCGCATTTGTCACTAAAAAAATAGATGCTTTATATTTAAAAACACACACACACACATATATATGTATATATATATATTTTTGGACACAAATAGGATAAATTAAATGAGTTACGATTATAAGATCAATCTATTTTTTTTAGGTCATATACACAAAGATTTTATAAATTAAATGATTCGAATTATCAAAACCAACCTATAATTAGCCCCATAGGCCCGAATAGCGCCATCCAATTCAAATAATAGACTGGATGGAATCTAACTCATTTTTTAAATGGGTAAATTATAAACACACATCCTGAGATTTACTTAAATTATAAATTACCCCCTGTGGTTCTAAAAATTATATTACGTCCCCTAAGGTTTCTAATTTCATAACAAATAGGTTATTTTATTGATAAATCATCAAGTTAATTAACAATTTTTAATAATGTAAAAATTTTATTTCAATTAATAATTCAGACAATTTTATTATTATATAGGTAAACAGTTAGAAATTTTACTTTTTCAATTAATTCTATTAAATAAAAAATTCTGACAGAGAGGTATTTGTAATTTTTCAAACTATAAGAGGCAATTCGTATTTTAAGTAAATCTCATAGATATATTTGTAATTTACCTTTTTTAAATGTGTAGTATTACTGCATTTTTTGTATCCTTTATTTCCAAACCTTTTTTTCCACTAGATAGTGTGCGAAAAGAATTAATATTTAAATTTGAAATTGGCACATTGTGGAGTAGAGTGTTAGTTTAAAATTAAGAGAAAATTGTTTATAAGTCTTATTATGGGAACTTATTTAATGTGAAATCTTGTGTAATTTTTTATACAGTTTCAAGTCTTATTTAGATAGGAATGTGTTCTATAAGGTCCTATGAGTTGTAAATAATTGGTATTAGTGTACTATTATACCCCTTATTTATTTTCATATTCTAGGTTATTGTATCATTCAACATATTACGTTTTTGGAGGTTTTTAGGAAAGTGGATTGTGCAAGCCACGTCCGTAGACGTGAACGTCACCTTGATCGCGGATTCCGATGGATTTTGAGAATGTTGCTTGTTTGGATGTGGATATGGCCAATACTGTCGTCAAGGTTGGAGGTTGTATTTTGTTTGCTTCTGCTGATTTGGACTCCAAGTGGTTGAGGGAATGAGGTATGGTTTTTGCTTCTCCAATTGGGGAGATTTGTTGTTGTGTGGTGCCAATTGTTCATGTTTCATTGTCATCTTATCTGATAGGACTTGAAACTTATGAAGTAATTGTTGTATGGTGCCAATTGTTCATGTGTGGTGCTAATTGTTCATGAAATTTTTTATAAAGTAATTGTGCACAACTATTAGTGTGCTAACATGAAAATTATTCATATGTATTATCGATTTGGGAAAATTATTTATAAGTCCTATTATGAAAACTTATTTAATGTGAAGTCCTGTTTAATTTCTTATAGAGTTTCAAGTCCTAAGATAGGAATGTGTTCCATAAGGTCCTATGAGTCGTAAATAAATGGTATTATTGTACCATTATACCTTTTATTTATTTTCATGTTATAGGTTATTGTATCATTCAACATATTACGTTTTTGGAGGCTTTTGGGAAAGCAGATTGTGCAGGCTACGTCTGTGGGTGTGAATGTCATCTTGATCGCAGATTCCGATGGATTTTGAAAATGTTGCTTGTTTGGATGAGGATATAGCCAATACTGTTGTCAAGATTGGAGGTTATGTTTGGTTTGCTTCTGCTGATTTGGACTCTAAGTGGTTGAGGGAAGGAGGTATGGTTTTTGCTTCTCCAATTGGTGAGATTTGTTGTTGTGTGGTGCTGATTGTTCATGTTTCACTGTCATCTTATCTGATATAGGTTTGACAATCTATTACAGCCATTTATTGGCACACTTTCATTAGCATCCAATGATGTTACATTTAAGTTGTAATGTTAACCCACATCCACAACGTTGTTATGCCTTTTGTGTGTCACATTCAGTTGTATTTGTCTTTAAATGTTTGTTGTGTCGTTGTTATATTTAGTGTTTATATACATGTCACATTACATTGCGCAAAGTTATTGAGTTTTTAATTTTTTAATTGAATGTGGGTTGAACCCCGTCGTATGATGTCGAAGTTACGGTGGGTTGGGGGTGATATTGGTTCAATACATGGGTTGGGTTGGGATGTTATATGTTACATTTAAGAGGTTACATTATTCATGATTCAACGGTGGAGTATTAGAATGTCACATTGAATTTGGGATAATAAGCATATAAGAATGTCACGGTGGGTTTTGGATTTTTCATGTTGCATTTACGTTGAGTTTGAGATGAGAAGCATATAAGAATGTCACATTCAGTTTTGGATGTTATATGTTACATTTATGTTTTGAATTTTAAATTTCTAATAATATAGATATGATCACAATCTATGATAATATTGGATTTCTTATATATGGTGTTGTTATTAATCAAGTTGTTTTGAATTTCAAAAGCATATGGGAATATCACATTGGGTTTGGGATGCTACATGTTACATTTACGGTTTCAATTTCAAATTTCTAATCATATAGATTTGATCATAATCTATGAATGGAATTATTGTCTTTAATTCAATTTGAAAATGCTTCTTATGGATCTGTTCAACACTGAATTTGGTTGATTTTGTACAATCTGAACTTTGTTCTAACACATTAAAAAACAATTGAATTGATACTCTCTCTCTCTCAGCGACGTGATTGAAGGTTGGAATGATAGCCCATCAACCATGTTCCCGACATATAGAAGTCTCATTGCCTCTGGCCTTCGTATACTTATTTACAGGTAATTCAGCTCTTTTTTCATAGTAGGTTAATAATTGTCTAGGTAATATCACATTTCCAAATTCCAAGCTAAGCTTAAATTAAAGAACAACATAAAAGCACCAATTTTTTGATTATTTGATTTCTAACTCTATGAATATGTGAACATATTATGGACAGCGGTGATGTGGATGCAGTTGTTCCAGTGACTAGCACTCAATATTCCATTGATGTGTTAAAAACCTTGGCATCCTTGGACCGATGATGGAGAAGTATGTTTCCATGCTTTTAATTTAGTTTGAGCACAATTTCAAACTTATTTATTTATTTTTAATTTTAATTTATTTTTTTTGCCAGTTTCAAGCAGCGGGATATAAAGTGGTATATGATGAATTGACTTTCGCAACAGTTCTAGGCGCTGGTCATCAAGTTCCAATAATTCAGCCGTGCAGAGTTTTGGCCTTATTTAAGATGTTTTTAGCAGGAAATTAAAGTTGGAATGCACGTGAATTTGACTGTTAACTACTACTATTATTCGTGTTAAGTAAGATTAAGTTGCTTCGAATCAAGTTAAATATATGTCAATCTATTTTATTGATGGCTAATTTGAGATTATCAGTTTGAAAAGGGTGAGTCTTTACTAGCAGAGACACCATCGAAGAAAAAGTTCAATTTCTAAAATATTGTTGTATCTTCCATGGAAGCACATCAATCGACTTCGCTCTTCGTTGTGCTATGGATCTCAGCTGAGTGGATTACCATGTTGGTGACAAGATTGAATGAGTTTGGTGCTAAAAATTCAGTAGACTCTGATATATTTTTGATGTTGAAGAACATTTAATGATTAAACCTCACCAAAAAGCAGGCCTGTTAGTTAACCTTTCGTTGTCCAACTCTTCACCCCTCTTGTTATTGTCTTCATTTTGGCACGATATGGGGACGGAGAGAGAGAATTTTAAAAATAAATCTTGTGATTTGTGAATCTTGGTAAAAACCCAAAATGAAAAAACACAAGAAAAACATGTTTCAGCAAACAAAAATCATTGTAAGATGTGCAAAGCATAGATAATGTCAATGGGGTTGAAAGTCCAACAAGAAAACTTCCAAAATGTGTCACAGAAGTTTGTATAAAAGGCATGATAATTGGATCGATCAAACAACATTTGGTTCTGTTTTGCATCAATGAAGAAAGTCGCAATCCTACTACCGCTTTTTCATTCATGCCTTGTTGCTTTAGTCCATTGTTATGGAGGAATTGGATTTGACCCCCTTGAGAAAATTTTAGAAAAACAATCTTCGAAACAGCAGGAAGTCAATTATGTCACTGAGAGCACGGCCACAGAGTATTCACCGGTGTATGTAGACCCTCAAGATGGACTGAAAGCTGCTGACAAGATTGTATCTTTGCCGGGGCAGCCTAATGGAATTAACTTTGATCAGTACTCTGGCTATGTTAGGGTTGATCCCAACGCTGGCAGAGCACTTTCTACTATTTTGCCGAGTCTCAGAATTCTTCTAGCAAGCCTCTTGTGCTGTGGTTAAATGGAGGTGATTTCTTGCTAGTTTGTGATTCTCGTGTTTCCATTATTTGTCATCTCACTCTCCCTAGAACCTGTAATAACAAGGGTCTCGTAAACTGAGACGCCTTTTTTTAGTCTCATTTGCCCTCATTTATCCCTCAGTTACTACTAAATACCAATAATCGCCATTTAAAGGCTTAAATAAACAACTTTGGCAATCTAGAGCCAATCATAGCGTAGCGGTGAGTTGTGCTAGTTTGGCTATTTCAAATCAAATAGGGTCCTCAAGTTCGACAAGTTTGAAAAATCTCTCAAATTACCGTTTTACCATCAAACCGTGATTAAGTCGGTATCAAATGCACATCTGCATTACCATTTCTTTTTGTCATCATTCTCACTATATCATCATTTTGCTCCCTAGGACCTGGCTGCTCTTCGTTTGGCAAAGGAGCAAAGATGGAGCTCGGACCATTTCGAGTCAACAGTGATGGATTAACTCTATCAGAAAACAAATATGCATGGAACAATGGTGAGTATGCTCATGTTTCTGTTCCAAACCATTAATCAAATTCTTAAAAAGTACACGACAATCATTTGTAATTATGACATTCTGGCAATGCAGCGGCGAATATACTTTTCCTTGAGTCACAGGCCGGTGTTTCTTACTCAAATACTACATCAGATTATGACAAAAGTGGAGATGCTAGATCAACAGCGATGGATTAACTCTATCAGAAAACAAATATGCATGGAACAATGGTGAGTATGCTCATGTTTCTGTTCCAAACCATTAATCAAATTCTTAAAAAGTACGCGACAATCATTTGTAATTATGGCATTCTGGCAATGCAGCGGCGAATATACTTTTCCTTGAGTCACAGGCCGGTGTGGGATTTTCTTACTCAAATACTACATCAGATTATGACAAAAGTGGAGATGCTAGAACTGCAGCTGATTCCTATACCTTTCTACTCAACTGGTTGGAAAGGTTTCCAGAGTACAAAACCAGAGACTTCTTCATAACCGGAGAGAGCTATGCCGGGCATTATGTGCCCCAACTTTCTAAATTAATCCTTCAAAATAACAAAATCACCAACCAAACTGTCATTAACTTGTAAGGAATTGCTGTAAGTAGCCAATTTATTTATTTATTTTTTATTTTTTGTAAATTTCTACAACTCGTAATACATGTGTGACGCAGTGGAATATCACACGATGTCTAGATACCATTTTAGAATATGAGAAGGTCTTGAATCTGCAAAGATGTGAAACTTTGAAATTTTACTAAAATGAATTACCTCTGAGAGTGATTTATATGTCTGTTAATAATAGATTAATCCTAGTTCTTGTAGAACATGAAATAGCTAAGAAAAAAGAAAATTTAGCAAATTTGAATACCACATGGTGTAGGAAAATATCGAAATAACGCGCACTGAAACTAAAACCCCCTAAACTATAAGTCATAACTAATAGTAGTTTTTTTTTTGTTCTTTTGATCGGAAAACAAATTTTTTATTGATGCAATCGAAGAAAAGTAACATACTAACACAAGGTATGTTAGGTCTGATAAGACAATTAAATTTGAAGTAATTCTGAACTCATTCCGTAACTGGTTGACATTGTTAACATATAATATATACACCCCACTACCATGTATAGCTGTAAAAGACCTTGTGTCTGTAAAGGCCACAATGTGTAGTTGTAAAGGCCACAACTTTCACTTTAGCTTTAGCTTATCTCAATGTAATTACCAGGCATCCGATTCCATTTGTCTCCTTCTCCTCTCTATAAAGAGAGGGAGCTCACCCTCTTGTATTTACACAGAAACATAATATAACAACACCAATTCTTCAATTCAGTCTCTCTCTGTTCTCTCCCTCCTTACCAATCTTTCATGGTATCAGAGCCCAAAAATACAATTCTGGCATCCCTCAATTTTGGTACTTAGTTCCGTACACAGTGGACTATACCAAACCGCTCGGAATCTCCTTACGATTCCAACGGCACCAAGCCCATCACCAGAAAAGCCCTCACGCGCTCTCACGCGCCGCTTCTTTGCTCGGCGCGTCTCTGCTTCCGTTGCCACTCTCACACGCGCTGCCACGCGCCTTCCACCCTACCCTGTCGTGCGCCGCGCCTGCTACCGTGCACCCGCGTGCGCCGTTCGTCTACCGTGAGCCGCGCGTGCGTCGTTCCGCTATTGTGCACCCGCGTGCGCCATTCTGCTAACATATGCTGCCAGCCCCCTCTGCTACCGTGCGCCGCATGCCTTCCCTGCTAACGTGCGCCGCTGACATCATTTTCCATCATGCTGACATCATCCCTACACAGCCCACCTTTCCTAGCTATTTTCGACCTTCCGGACTCACTGGTACACTCTGTTTTACCTAATTTTGCTCCTACAGGTCTCTCCCCATCTGTTTAGCCCTCCTCCACTATTATTATGGATCGTCCTGATGCCTCCCATCCCATTTCTGTTATATTGGATGGTTCCAACTATGTTCTATGGGCCCAAGCCATGTCTTCCTTCCTCAAAGGAAAGAAGCTCTGGCGAATTATCACCGGGGACATGACCCAACCGGTCAAAGACACTGCTGAAACCACTGTCTCTCCTGCTACTCCTACATATGAAGATCGCCTTGAGGAATGGGACAGTAAGAATTACCAAATCATTACCTGGTTTCGCAATACTTCTGTTACCTCTATCAGTCTTCAGTTTGGTCGCTTTCAGCTTGACTCTGTCACTACTCCTGCAAAAGACATCTGGGATTTTTTGAAAGAACGATACCAGACTACTGGTCTTGCCCATCAATATCAACTTCAGAACCAACTTCACCGCATGCGCCAAGAATCCACTCAGTCCATTAATGACTTCCTTTCTCAAATATACTCTGTTTGGGATCAGCTTGCTCTTTCGGAACCAACTTGGCATAACCACGAAGATGCTGTTTTATTTACTATCTATCGCAACCAGCAAAGATTGGTGCACTTTCTCATGGCTCTTACTTCCTCCTTTGAGCCCGTACGTGCCTCTCTGCTTCATCGCCATCCATTGCCCACTCTTGAACAAGCAATTTCTGAGTTGCTCTCAGAGGATCAGAAGAGACTCGTCTTGGTACTCTCTAAACTCATCATGTGGACTCTGTTCTTGCCACTCCCCCGTACCGGCCATCATTTCCCCAGCGGACCACTGCCTGTCTCTACTGTCAGAATCGGGCCTTCCTTCCACACATCTCCTGGTCAATTGCCCAGTCAGAACCTGCCGATATTGCAACAAACTTAGTCCTGGTCATCTGCAACAGGATTGTTTTCGCCATCCGTCCCGCTCATCCTCCAACAGCCACTCTTCTCGCGGTGGTTCTTCTCGGGGGAGCTTTCATCGTTCCAGGAATCAATCTCATTCTGGGAATCAGTCTTCTCACACCGCCACTGCTGCTGCTGCCGCTGAGAGTTTTTCTGAGTCTCCGGCTCCGTCTACCCATCTCTTTTCTCCTACGGATGTCGAGGCCATGTTCAAACACCTTCTCTCCCCTTCTGGTACACCTCCTCCTACTGCTTTGTCTGTAATTCCAGGTAACTCTTCTTGGTATTTTGATTCTGTCTGTTGTAATCATATGACCTCCAGTTCAACTATATTTTCTTCCATCTCTTCATCTCCTCATATTCCCTCAATTCAAACTGCTGATGGTTCTCTCATGACTGTCCGTCATCTTGGTACTGTTTCCACATCTTCCTTAACTTTACCTCAAGTTTATCATATCCCTGCTCTCACTTTAAACCTTATCTCTATTGGTCAATTATGTGAACTTGGTCTAACTGTTACCTTTTCTGCTACTCATTGTTTGGTGCAGGACCCTCAGACGAGGCAGACTATTGGGATCGACCGTAAGCACGGACGTCTCTATGAGCTCATTCACCTTCATGTTCCTGCCTCTCCTCAGATCGCTGCTCCTGCTACTGCTTCCTCATTATCTCCTTTTCATCTTTGGCATTGTCGCTTAGGACATATTTCTATTACTCGCTTAAAGTCTTTGGTTTCTAGTGGACAATTGGGTCATGTAATTCCAGATACTTTCGATTGTATACCCTGTCAACTTGCCAAACAACCTGCTTTATCATTCAATAAAAGTACTTCTGTTTCCTGTGCACCTTTTGATCTTATACATTCGGATATTTGGGGCCCTTCCCCTACCACTACTATGGGGGGATCTCGTTATTTTGTTGTTTTCATTGATGATTTTTCACGGTTTACTTGGATTTTTCTCATGAAAACTCGGTCTGACCTCAAAACCCTTTATTATCGATTTGCCCAAATGATCCGCACCCAATTTTCCAAACACTCAAACTTTTTCGCTCCGACAATGCTATGGAATATCGGGATTCAGATTTCCTTTCTTTTCTTCAGAGTCATGGTACACTGCCTCATCGTTCCTGTGCTGGCACGTCCCAGCAAAATGGCCGTGCTGAACGGAAACATAGGCATATTCTTGACACTACTCGCGCTCTCCTTCTCTCTTCTTCCTGCCCTGAAAACTTTTGGGGGAAGCTGCCCTCACTGCTGTCTACACTATCACTTGTGCTCCTTCCCCTGTCATCCATAATCAAACTCCCTTTGAACGTCTGCATGGCACTCCCCCTCCCTATGCTAATCTTCGGGTTTTTGGCTCTGCCTGCATTTTCTCCTTCAATCTCATGAACGCACCAAGCTTGAACCGCGTTCTCGTCTTTGTTGCTTTCTTGGTATGGAATTGAACATAAAGGTTTTCGCTGTTGGGACCTTCTCTAAACGTCTTCGTATCTCCCGCCATGTTGTTTTTTGGGAGCACCAAATGTTTTCCTCCCTATCCTCCTTTCACTTACCTGCACTTTCCACTAATGTACTGTTTACTAATCCTTCCCTCGATCTCTTCTCTGATGATTTTGATACAGGTCCCTCCGTCATTGAGACGCCCTTGCTCACTCCTGCTCCCGACCAGACTGCTCTCCTGAAGGTCCACCTCTCCCTGCACCACCTTTTTCTCCACCGTTCTTCCTCCCACCGATCCTCCTACGGGTCGACCACACCGGGTAACTCAACCCCCTATCCACCTTCGTGATTATATTGTTGGGTCTGCTGCCTTTTCTACTTATGAACTACTCCTATCGTGAGGCTTGTACTAATCCTCTTTGGCAGCAAGCTATGTCTGATGAACTTCAGGCTTTGGACAAAACTCATACTTGGGATCTTGTTGACCTTCCTCTTGGCAAAACTGCGATTGGCTGCAAATGGGTTTACAAAATCAAGACTCATTCTGATGGCTCTATTGAACGCTACAAAGCTCGTCTTGTTGCCAAGGGTTTCAACCAGGAATATGGGATTGATTATGAGGAAACCTTCTCCCCCGTTGCTCGGCTTACCTCTGTTCGCAGTTTACTGGCTGTTGCTGTGCTCGCCACTGGGAGCTTTTTCAAATGGATGTCAAAAATGCCTTCCTCAATGGTAATCTTCTTGAGGAGGTCTACATGCAACCTCCACCTGGGTCTACTTTTCCCCCTCATAAGGTTTCAAACTACAGCGTACCTTTATGGCCTCAAGCAAGCACCCGTGCCTGGTTTGCTAAGTTCAGTTCTACCATTCATGACTTCGGTTCACCTCTAGCTCTATGACTCTGCTCTTTTTATAGGACTACTCCTCATGGTACCACTCTTCTCCTTCTGTATGTGGATGATATGATTATCACTGGTAATGATGCAGCTGGTATTCTCCACCTCAAACGTTTTCTCCACCGTCAGTTTGAGATGAAGGACCTTGGTACTCTCAACTATTTGTTTAGGCCTTGAAGTCTCTCATGATTCTACTGGCTCTTATTTATCTCAGGCCAAATATGCATCCGATCTTCTGGCTCGTCTGGTCTTACTGATTGCAAAACTACATCTACTCCAGTTGATCCTCAGATTTGTCTCACTCCTCTCGACGGGGCTCTCCTCCCTGATGCTACTCTTTATCGTCAGCTCGTCGGTAGTCTTGTCTATCTCACAGTGACTCGTCCTGACATTGCCTATGCTGTTCACATTGTTAGTCAGTACATGTCGGCTCCTCGCACTCCCCACTATACTGCTCTACTCCACATCCTTCGATACATCAAAG